GGGGGGGGGGGGGGGGGGGGGGGTGCTGGTGACTGTCGCTGTGTGGGGAGGTGGTAGGTGGGAAGTCGGGGCTGATGACTGTCGCTGAATTGGAAGGTTGTGCTGGTGGCTGTCGTTTGGTGGTGAGATGGGACTGGTGACTGTCGCTGGGTGGAGAGGTTGGGCTGGTGAATGTCGCTGGGTGGGGAGGTGTTGGGTGGGGAAGTGGGGATGGTGACTTTCGGTGAAGGGAAGGTGCTGGGTGAGAAGGTGGGGCTGATGACTGTCTCTGGGTGGGAAGGTTGTGCTTGTGGCTGTCGCTGGGTGGTGAGATGGAACTGGTGACTGTCGGTGGGTGGGGAGGTGCTGGGTGTTGAGATGGGGCTGGTGACTGTCGCTGGCTGGAGAGGTGGAGAGGTGGTGTTGGTGACTGTTGCTGGTTGGGGAGGTGGGGCGGGCGGCTGTCGCTGGGTGGTTAGATGGAACTGGTGACTGTCGGTGGGTGGGTAGGTGCTGGGAGTTGAGATGGGGCTGGGGACTGTCGCTGGGTGGGAACTGTCGCTGGGTGGGGAGATGGTGCTGGTGACTTTTGCTGGGTGGAGAGGTTGGGCTGGTTAATGTCGCTGGGTGGGGGGGTTGGGCTGGTAAATGTCGCTGGGTTGGGAGGTGTTGGGTGGGGAGGAGGGACTGTCGATTGTCGCTTGGTGGGAAGGTGGTGATGATGACTGTCGCTGGGTGAGGAGGTGGGGCTGGCTACTGTCGCTGTGTGGGGAGGTGCTAGGTGGGAAGTCGGGACTGATGACTGTCGCTGAGTTGGGAGGTTGTGCTTGTGGCTGTCGCTTGATGGTGAGATGGGACTGGTGACTGTCGCTGGGTGGAGAGGTTGGGCTGGTGAATGTCGCTGGGTGGGGAGGTGTTGAGTGGGGAGGTGGGGATGGTGACTTTCGCTGGGTGGGGAGTTGGTCCTGATGACTGTCGCTTGGTGGGGAGGTGGTGCTAGTGAATATCGCTTGGTGGGGAGGTGGTACTGGTGACTGTCGCTGGGTGGGGAGGTGGTGCTGATGACTGTCGGTGGGTGGAGAGGTGGGGCTGATGAGTGTCGCTGGGTGGTGAGGTGGTGCTAGTGACTGTCGCTGGGTGGTGAGGTGGGGCAGTTGACTGTCGCTGGGTGGGGAGATTTGGCTGTCGACTATCGCTTGGGAGGGAGGTTGTGCTGGTGACTGTCGCTGGGTGAGGAGGTGGGGCTGGCGACTGTCGCTGTGTTGGGAGGTGCTAGGTGGGAAGTCGGGGCTGATGACTGTCGCTGAGTTGGAAGGTTGTGCTGGTGGCTGTCGCTTGGTGGTGAGATGAGACTGGTGACTGTCACTGGATGAAGAGGTTGGGCTGGTGAATGTCGCTGGGTGGGATGGTGTTGGGTGGGGAGGTGGGGATGGTGACTTTCGCTGGGTGGGGAGGTGGTCCTGATGACTGTCGCTTGGTGGGGAGGTGGTGCTAGTGAATGTCGCTGGGTGGGAAGGTGGTACTGGTGACTGTCGGTGGGTGGGGAGGTGGTGCTGATGACTGTCGGTGGGTGGTGAGGTGGGGCTGGTGGCTTTCGCTGGGTGGTGAGGTGGGGCTGGTGACTGTCGCTGGGTGGGGAGGTGCTGGATGGGGAGGTGGGCTGGTGACTTTCGCTGGGTGGGGAGGTGGTGCTGATGACTGTCGCTGGATGGAGAGGTGATAGGTTAGGATGGACTGGTGACTGTCACTGGGTGGTGAGGTGGTGCTGGTGACTGTCGCTGGGTTGAAAGCTGGTGATGGTGACTGTCGCTGGGTGGGGAGGTTGGGCTGGCGACTGTCGCTGAGTGGGGAAGTGCTGGGTGGGGAGGTGTGGATATTGACTGTCGCTGGATGGTGAGATGGGACTGGTGCCTGTCGCTGGGTGGAGAGGTGCTGCGGGTGACTGTCGCTCGGTGGGAAGGTGCTGGGTGGGGTGTGTGGTTGGTGACCTTCGCTGGGTATGGAGGTGGGGCTGGTAACTGTCGCTGGGTGGGAAGGTGCTGGGTTGGAAGGGAGGGCTGATGACTGTCGCTGGGTGGGAAGGTGGTGCTGGTGGCTGTCGCTGGGTGGTGAGGGGTGACAGGTGACTGTCGCTGGATGGAGAGGTGGGGCTGGTGACTGTCGCTGGGTGGGGAGTTGCTGGGTGGGGAGGTGGGTCTGGTGACTGTCGCTGGATGGGGAGGTGCTGGGTACCGAGGTGTGGCTTTTGACTCGCACTGGGTGGTGAGGTGGTGCTGGTGACTTTCGCTTGGTGGAGGGGGGTGCTGGTGACTGTCGCTGGGTGGAGAGGTGGTGCTGGTGACTGTCACTGGGTGGGGAGGTGGTGCTGGTGACTGTCGCTGGGTGGGAAGGTGGGGCTGGTGACTGTCGCAGGGTGGAGAGGTGGTGCTGGTGACTGTCACTGGATGGGGAGGTGGTGCTGATGAATGTCACTAGGTGGTGAGGTGGGGCTTGTGGCTGTCGCTGGGTGGTGAGGTGGGACTGGTGACTGTCGCTGAGTGGAGAGGTGGTTCTGGTGACTGTCGCTGGGTGGGGAGGTTGGGCTGGTGGCTCTCGCTTGGTGGGGAGATGGAGATGGTGACTCTCGCTGGGTGGGGAGGTGGGGCTGGCGACTGTCGCTGAGTGGGGAGGTGCTTGGTGGGGAGATTGGGCTGGTGACTGTCGCTGAGTGGGGAGGTGCTGGGTGGGGAGGTGGGGCTGGTGGCTCTCGCTTGGTGGGGGGATGGAGATGGTGACTCGCGCTGGGTGGGGAGGTGTTGGGTGGGGAGGTGGGGCTTGTGGCTGTCGCTGGGGGGGGGGGTTGGGCTTGTAGCTCTCGCTTGGTGGGGAGATGGAGCTGGTGACTCTCGCTGGGTGGGGAGGTGTTGGGTGGGGAGGTGGGGCTGGTGGCTGTCGCTGGGTGGGGAGGTTGGGCTTGTAGCTCTCGCTTGGTGGGGAGGTGGAGATGGTGACTGTCGCTGGGTGGGGAGGTGGAGCTGGCGACTGTCGCTGAGTGGGGAGGTGCTTGGTAGGGAGATTGGGCTGGTGACTGTCGCTGAGTGGGGAGGTGCTGGGTGGGGAGGTGGGGCTGGTGACTGTCGCTGGGTGGGGAGGTGGTGCTGGTGACTGTCGCTGGGTGGGGAGGTGGGGCTGGCGACTGTCGCTGAGTGGGGAGGTGTTTGGTGGTGAGATGGGGCTAGTGACTGTCGCTGGGTGGTGAGATGGGACTGGTGACTGTCGCTGGGTGGAGAGGTGGTGCTAGTGACTGTCGCTCGGTGGGGAGGTGCTGGGTGGGGGATGTGGTTGGTGACTTTCGTTGGGTGGAGAGGTGGTCCTGGTGACTGTCGCTGGATGGGGAGGTGGTGCTTGTGACTGTCGCTGGCTGGGGAGTTGATGGGTGGGGATGTGGGGCTGGCGACTGTCGCTGAGTAGGGAGGTGCTGGTTAGGGAGGTAGGGCTGGTGACTGTCGCTGGGGGGGGAGTTGATGGGTAGGAAGGGAGGGCTGATGACTGTCGCTGGGGGGGAAGGTGGTGCTCGTGGCAGTCGCTCGGTGGTGAGGTGGGGCATGTGGCTGTCGCTTTGTGGGTGGGGAGGTGGGATTGTCGATTGTCGCTTGGTGGGGAGGTGGTGATGGTGACTGTAGCTGGGTTGGGAGGTTGGGCTGGCGACTGTCGCTGAGTGGGGAGGTGTTTGGTGGTGAGATGGGGCTAGTGACTGTCGCTGGGTGGTGAGATGGGACTGGTGACTGTCGCTGGGTGGAGAGGTGGTGCTGATGGCTGTCGCTGGGTGGGGAGGTTGGGCTTGTAGCTCTCGCTTGGTGGGGAGGTGGAGATGGTGACTGTCGCTGGGTGGGGAGGTGGGGCTGGCGACTGTCGCTGAGTGGGGAGGTGTTTGGTGGTGAGATGGGGCTAGTGACTGTCGCTGGGTGGTGAGATGGGACTGGTGACTGTCGCTGGGTGGAGAGGTGGTGCTGATGACTGTCGCTGGGTGGGGAGGTTGGGCTTGTAGCTCTCGCTTGGTGGGGAGGTGGAGATGGTGACTGAGGTGGGGCAGTTGACTGTCGCTGGGTGGGGAGGTTGGGCTGGCGACTGTCGCTTGGTGGGGAGGTGGTGCTGGTGACTGTCGCTGGGTGGGGAGGTGGTGCTAGTGACTGTCGCTCGGTGGGGAGGTGCTGGGGGGGGGATGTGGTTGGTGACTTTCGTTGGGTGGAGAGGTGGTCCTGGTGACTGTCGCTGGATGGGGAGGTGGTGCTTGTGACTGTCTCTGGCTGGGGAGTTGATGGGTGGGGATGTGGGGCTGGCGACTGTCGCTGAGTAGGGAGGTGCTGGTTAGGGAGGTAGGGCTGGTGACTGTCGCTGGGTGGGGAGGTGATGGATAGGAAGGGAGGGCTGATGACTGTCGCTGGGTGGGAAGGTGGTGCTCGTGGCAGTCGCTCGGTGGTGAGGTGGGGCAGGTGGCTGTCGCTTTGTGGGTGGGGAGGTGGGACTGTCGATTGTCGCTTGGTGGGGAGGTGGTGATGGTGACTGTCGCTGGGTGGGGAGGTGTTGGGTGGAGAGGTGGGGATGGTGATTTTCGCTGGATGGGGAGGTGGTCCTGATGATTGTCGCTTGGTGGGGAGGTGGGGCAGGTGACTGTCGCTGGGTGGTGAGATGGGACTGGTGAATGTCGTTGGGTAGAGAGGTGGTGCTAGTGGCTGTTGCTCGGTGGGGTGGTCCTGGCTGGGGGATGTGGTTGGTGACTTTCTTTGGTTTGAGAGGTGGTGCTGGTGACTGTCGCTGGATGGGGAGGTGGTGCTTTTGACTGAAGCTGGATGGGAAGGTGGGGCTCGTGACTGTCGCTGGGTGGAGTTGTTCAGATTTCCCTATTGGCGACTGTCGCTGAGTGGGGAGGTGCTGGGGAGGAAGGGGGGGCTGTTGACTGTCGCTGGATGGGGAGGTGTTGGGGGGGGAGGTGGGGCTGGTGACTGTCGCTGGGTGGGAAGGTGCTGGGTAGGAAGGGAGGGCTGTTGACTGTCGCTGGATGGGAAGGTGGTGCTGGTGGCAGTCGCTGGGTGGTGAGGTGGGACAGGTGACTGTCGCTGGGTGGAGAGGTGGGGCTGGTGACTGTCGCTGGGTGGGAAGGTGGTGCTGGTGGCAGTCGCTGGGTGGAGAGGTGGGACAGGTGACTGTCGCTGGGTGGAGAGGTGGGGCTGCTGACTGTCGCGGGCTGGTGGGTTGCTGGGTGGGGAGGTGGTCATAATTTACATTGTAATGTAAGAAAGCATTATATCGTTATTCACTGAACATATTTTAAACTTAAAGCATACAACACAGAAATGATACTTATACAACAGTGATCTTATGTTATACATTGTACAAGAGATACATGGACCTGAGTTGCAATGCAATTATGTTATTTGTTGTAATGATGTGAAAATCAAACAAAAACAGAACAAAAGTTCATTTAATCCAAAAAAGGCTTTTCTAATTCCTTGAGAGAAATTCATGTTGGGAGTGACCATATATTATTGATATATCATTTTTGGCAGGTACATAATTGTCTGACATACGGTATATATTGCTGACAATTTTCAGAAAAAATGATATACAAAATGTACATGTAGTGGAGGAATGAACGACACATGAGTAATGAAATAACAATTTCAGATATTGCGACTTAGGACCTAGTGTTTGATTCTAGCATATCTGGATCTTAAGAAGAAGATTGTTGAAATTTCAGCCAATTTGCCCTCTTTGGCCCCTCCCTACAGGCCCTAGGGAAGGGCCAGGTTCTTAATTTTCATAGCATCGAAATTCAGTCACATGATTGCTATATATAGTCATTCCAACCAACTTTGAATTTGTACCCAAAAGTGTTATTTCCCCATATAAACTACAGTAAGGTCAAAAACAAGATTTACATATGCTTCGGATAATCTGATCATGACCTACCTAACCTTAAATTTTTCCTGTGGACCTTAGGGAACATTTTATCACCTACTTTGTATCCATGAAGATCATTTCCCTGTTATGGTCATGGGATCCTGACCACATTCTTGACAGAATAATAACAATTGTAATGCATAGAAATTCATTTTTCTTACATTTTTAATTACCCTGTAAGTATATATTGATCCATAATAATTTAAAAAAACCCATAAAATTGCCTACTTACTGACCAACCCTATTTTTCTCTGGAATATTGCCTGAAAAACATTTTTGTTTTTGTTTTAGCCTAAATATTCACTTTTTCTCAAGGAGGAATGAATGATCCAGAGGTAGCAAAATATTCATAAATTTGAAATAGGCCTACAGGACCTTTCTGTCTATGAAGAGTATTTGATTTTAGCATCTCTGTGCCTGAATAAGAAGACTGTTGAAAATTTAGTCAATTTGACCTGTTTTGGGCTCAAACTCCTGGCAGATTAGATCCACGTGTAATTCATAAATTTGACTTGCATTTGACCATGGAACTTTCCTTCAAAAATTAACTGAAGTGGTTACTATGACGGACAAAGGGCATTCACAAGAGGTCAACACCAAGACTTAAATAAAATAAGTTTTCTAGGTTAAGTTCACAAATCATCAATGTAATACTCACTGCCTACCAAGATGTCCTCACCTTTTACACCGGTATTAACCAAGAATATGCTAGGCTCAGAACAAAATATGTATACAATTTGCAATGTGCAAAAAATGATTACAAGTTTTTTATTCTAAGATATATACCAGTAAAATAAGAAGATCCTTAGTTTTCCATTTATATTGATTATGATTCTGCAGTATAATTGTCAAAAATCAATACTTGCATGATACGAATGCACACATAATTATACTGGTACATAAAATGCAATTCAAATCTGTACATAAGGTTATTAAGTAATCAAGATTCTCCCCAGTTGAATCTCTACATTTACTTGTAGTTGACAGGAGCAAACCCTTTAATTCCCATAATAAGAACCCTCATACAATATATTAACATTTTATTTCATATGCCAGTATTTAGTCATCAAATGAGACCACATTGGCACAGATGCAAGAAATAGGTTATGTAATCAGAGTTTTTGCCAGGTGTTTACAGGGTCTGTTACAGGGATTCATTACAATATTTAGAATATGACCCTGTATTTTCCCAATTTCAGTCTTTATTTTCCCAATTGGCATTAGAAGCATGTTCATACGAGTTTCCAGTCATTATTTTATATGTACACTGTTCATTCAAAATATAAACAAATGTACAAAAATAACAAGAATTTGAAATTGAATCAACAAAAACACTGAAAATTGATGTGTTTATTTATTGCTATACATTTTACTGTGAGAAACAGCTGGATGGTTTTTTTTGCAAATCACATTGTAGGTTTTATTTTATCAAAACTAAAATTTTCCCTTAACCTGGGGACACTGATGAAATTTCCCAATTTTTGCCAAATGCCGATGATATTATCCCAATTCCTGCTCAGGCAGTCAGGGACCCTTTCCCAAAATAGCTGGCAAAAACCCTGGTAAAAGTGTTGACTTCCTACTTGTTATGTTTTGTTATATTTTCATTTAGAAAATCTTGAGGCTGCTCTGTTCTTGAATTTATTTTTTAATGTTGAAATATTTCAAAATTATAATGTATATATATATTTCCTAAATTTATAAAAACGACATTTTTCAAAAAAATTTACAGTGTAGGAAATCTTCTAACATGGATGTTGAATAAGTGAAGCTAGAAGCTATTACTGTACATACAATGCGACACAGTTGATATTTAGGCTTGCTTTGCTAAAATTTACCAGTTTCAGCCAATAAACTAATAAACTTGCTCAATAAACTTATTCGAACTGACAAAGTAGGCGAAGCATACATTATTTGACCTACCTTTAACCCACATAAAAGTACACATTTATGCGCGTACATAACCAAGGCGGCACATCAGCATTGTCGTTGATAAACATCTCCTTTGCACTGAAACCGACTAGACTTGCACAGGCCTAGCTTTCGTGAAGCTGGCGATTGTTTTCTTGTTGATAGAGTGACAAACACATTGAAATCAGTAGACCTTTGAGTCAAACATAATACCTGTCTGTGAAAGGGCAAAACTGGTAAAATTTGCTCCATGGCTACTCTTGTCGATCATTTGAGTTGGCCTTTACCCTCCCGTGTTCCTATTTCCCGGCGAAGTAGTCGACTCTACCGGCGAAATTGATCTGTTCCGGTCTTTTCAACCAATCAGAATGTGGCAAATTTTGAAGCCCGCGACTTTCAGACCACAAATATTTTTATTGCTTAACCTAATTCGTCAAAAATGTCGAAACTTTAATTTTTAAACCCGTTTAATGAAGAAACATTTCACGAATACGTTTGGAAAATTCACGCAAATAAGTAACGATGTGAAACATATTTTCTATTCCTACAGAGATGTTTAAAACGGTGATTTTTTAGCTTCTGATCTATTAATAACCAATCAGAGCGTCGCAAATTTTAAAGTCCGTTCTGCACGATGTAAAGAAAAAAGATCGCATAGTATTGTAGTTTCGTTTTGTGTTACTATATATAGATTTTTGCTTGAACTATATATATACCACGCATACGATACAAAAAGAGCTCGCTGCACTCGCTATTAAGGAAAATGAAAATACATGATAAAAAAAGCAGAAAAGGAGTAGGAAAGAAAAGAAAAGAGAGAAAAGACCAGGTCTGTCAAGCATTGCAGAGAGAGAGACAGTCCATGGATGCGATACCTGAAATCAGAAGTTAAAAACTCAGAAACAAGGGGAGTTAATTCCGTCAAAATGACGTCACACTCAAAATACACACCTATTGGAAACAGGGGGGAGATAATTCAGTCAGTAACACTTAAATTGATGACGTCAAACGCAAAAAAAACAACACATGATGAAGTGACGTAGATATGGGGCCGTAGGTTCATGCGGTTGCTAGGGCGCCATCTTGGATCCAAAATGGCGGATTTCCTTAGCAACCACACCCCATATCCACGTCACTTCATCACATCTGGTTTAATTTTAACCAGTCTATTAAATTTTGACAGTCATTTTCAATAGTATGTTTTAAAGCATCTAGGTCTTTATTTGATTCATTGACAGTGTTATCGTCTGCATACTTATATAATTTACAGGATGTCACATATAAAAACATATCATTTATAAATACATTAAAAAGCAAAGGTCCTAAAATACAACCCTGGGGTACCCCTTCAGCACTTCCAGCCAGGATGAGGAAGACAGTCAAAAGCCTTGGATAGGTCCATCAGTATGGCAGCGACATACTCATGGTTGTCCAGGGCTCTACGCCAATCCTCAACAAGTCGCAACAGGGTGGATTGACACCCAAATCCTGGTCGGAAGGCTGCAAGGAAAGGATGAAAAACATTACTAAAAAAAGCAGTCAGTTGATCACACATGGTTCTTTCAAATCTTTTCGATATACAAGGTAAAATGCTGACTGGTCGGTAGTTTTGTTTATCTAAAATCAGGAACTACCTGTGCCTCCTTGAGTCTGCAAGGCAGAGGCACACTGATGTCAGTACAACAAGCTCTAAGGAGTTTTGAAGATATGCCATCGATACCAGTGGCCTTATTCGCCTTCACCTTAGAGATAGCCTTTTCAACCACGAAAGGAGAGACATGATTAACACAAATCTTTGACTGATCATTATTGTGTGCCCTTATCTCTTTTAATATAAGTTCATCAGAAGAATCTTCTGTACCAATATCGGTAGCAAAATTTACATAAAAAATATTAAAAAAATAGCTGACCTCTGTTTGATCGCTGATAATGGCCTCATTTTCCTTTAAAATTACATTATTGCATTGTGCAGAGCCCTTATTTGCTAAAAATAGTTCAATGGTGGGCCAGAAATCTGTCGATTTTGGACCACCTGCACAGCGTTCGAAAAAAAAGTTGCGCATAGATTGTTTACGTAATTTATACATAATTTCTATGGTTACGATATGCCTCCCAATTAGGGGCTGATTTGCAACCAGTATATTTGTTAAAAAGCATGCGTTACACAGCTTTACGCAAGTTTGAATTAAAAAATGGACACCTTTTCTTTTTTACTACTTTTTCTTTTACAGGAGCATGTTCATCAATAATGTCTGTGATAAGTTTTTCATGGGCCCAATAAATATCATCAACATCATCAAAAGCGTAAGTTGCCTGGAAAGCGATTTTACTAATATCATCACTGAAAGTTTTTTCATCAACATTTTTATATCATCTATATTTCCTCTTTTCTTTCATAACTGGTTTATATTTCCCTTTAAAAACAGTCCCGACCACAGTTAAAAGCAAACGTATTAAATAAAAAGATGTACTCTTGCTTAAAATGACATCAACAGATGAGGGCTGCGTTTTTTTTATAAAACATGTTGGAGATTTAATTGTGTTTTTCATATCAAAGATATCACAAATATTGGATAATATATTGTCATTTACGTTCATGTCAACATTTAAATCTCCAGGGAGATGGGACTTAATAAAACACATGATACCTCCACCATGTCCAGTTCTATCTTTCCTAAACTCCCTAAAACTTGTGGTTTCAAAAAGGGCCCGATTGAACGAGTCGTTTAGTTTCGTCTCGCCTACGATAAAGATGTAAGCGAGGGAATTATGTAACGCATCACTGAGTGCACTGAATTTTTAACGCAAACGGGTGGAGAGGTGGGGCTGGTAAATGTGTACGGATGGAGAAGTGGTGCGTATGACTTTGGCAGTGTGGAGTGGTGGTGCTGGTTACTGCCGCTGGGTGGGGAGGTGGGGCTGGTTAATTTGGCTGGATGGTGAACTGGGGCTGGTGACTTTGGCCGGGTATTGAGGTGGGGCTAGTGACTTTGGCTTGTTGAAGAGCTTGTGCTGGTGGCTTTGGCTATGTCGCGAGGTGGGGATGGTGACTTTGGCTGGGTGGAGAGGATGGGCTGGTGACTTTGGCTTGGTTGAGAGGGGAGGCTTGTTAATGTGAACGAGTGAAGTGGTGCTCATGACTTTTTCAGAGTGGAGTGGTGGTGCTGGTGGCTTTCGCTAGGTGGAGAGGTGGAGCTGGTATATGTGGCTAGGAGGCGAGGTAAGGCTGGTGACTTTGACTTGGTGGAGAGGACGGGCTGGTGACTTTGGCTGGGTGGAGAGGTGGGGCCGGAGACTTTGGCTGGGTGGAGAGGTGGGGCCGGAGACTTTGGCTGGGTGGAGAGGAGGAGCTTGTGACTTAACCTTGGTCGTGAGGTGGGGCTGGTGACTTTGGGTGGGTGGAGAGGTGGGACTGGTGACTTTTGCTTGTTGACGAGCTTGTGCTGGGGACTTTGGCTATGTGGCGAGCTGTGGATGGGGACTTTGGCTTGGTGATGAGGTGTGGCTGATGACTTTGGCTGGATGTTGAGGTGGGATGGTTAATGAAGCTGGGTGGTGAGGTACGGTTTATGAGTACGGCTTGGTGTTGAGACTTGGTGGTGACTTAGCAATGTGAAGAGGTGGGGCTTGTGACTTTGGCTGGGTGGCGAGGTTGGGCTGGTGTCTTTAATTTGGTGGCGAGGTGGGGCTGGTGACTTTGGCTTGTTGGGCAGATGGGGCTGGTGGCGTTGGCTTGGTGGTCAGGTGGGACTGGTGACTTAGGCTTGGTGGTAAGGTGGGGCCGGTGACTTTGTCTTGGTGGTAAGGTGGGGCTGGTGACTTTGACTTGGTGGTGAGGTGGGGCTGGTGGCTATGGGTGGGCGGAGAGGTGGGACTGGTGACTTAGGCTTGGTGGTAAGGTGGGGCTGGTGACTTTGACTTGGTGGTGAGGTGAGGCTTGTTAATGTAAACTAGTGAACTGGTGCTCATGACCTTTGCAGTGATGAGTGGTGGTGCTGGTGACTTTCGCTAGGTGGAGAGGTGGAGCTGGTTTATGTGGCTAGGTGGTGAGGTGGGGCTGGTGACTTTTGCTGGGAAGAGAGGTGTAGCTGGTGACTTTGGCTTGGTGAGGAGGTCAGGCTTGTTAATGTGAACGAGTGAAGTGGTGCTCATGACTTTTGCAGTGTGGAGTAGTTGTGCTGGTGACTTTCGCTAGATGGAAAGGTGGAGCTGGTTTATGTGGCTAGGTGGTGAGGTGGGGCTGGTGACTGTGGCGTGGTGGACAGGTTTGTTGGGCTGGTGACGTTGGCTAGGTGGTGAACTGGGGCTGGTGACTTTTGCCTGGTACCAATGAGGGTCTGGTGACTTTGGCTAGGTTGCGAGGTGGAGCTGGTGACTTTGGCTTATTGACGAGATTGTGCTGGTGACTTTGGCTATGTGGCGAGCTGGGGATAGTGATTGTGGCTGGTTGGAGAGGCGGGGCTGGTGACTTTGGCTGGGTGGAGAGGTGGGGCCGGTGACTATTGCTGGGTGGAGAGGAGGGGCTTGTGACTTTAGCTTGGTGGTGAGGCGCGGCTGGTTACTTTGGGTGGATGGATAGGTGGGACTGGTGACTTTTGCTTGTTGAAGAGCTTGTTCTGGGGACGTTGGCTGGATGTTGAGTTGGGATTGTTAATGTGGCTGGGTGGTGAGGTACGGTTTATGACTACGGCTTGGTGTTGAGACTTGGTGGTGACTTAGCAATGTGAAGAGGTGGGACTTGTGACTTTGGCTGGGTTGAGACGTGGGGTTGGTTAATGTGGCAGGATGTACAAATGGTGCTGGTGTCTTTGGCTTGGTGGCGAGGTGGGGCTGGTGTCTTTAGCTTGGTGGCGAGGAGTACGGCTTGGTGTTGAGACTTGGTGGTGACTTAGCAATGTGAAGAGGTGGGACTTGTGACTTTGGCTGGGTGGAGACGGGGGGTTGGTTAATGTGGCAGGATGTAGAAATGGTGCTGGTGTCTTTGGCTTGGTGGCGAGGTGGGGCTGGTATCTTTAGCTTGGTGGCGAGGTGGGGCTGGTGACTTTGGCTTGTTGGTGAGATGGGGCTGGTGGCGTTGGCTTGAAGAAAGGGGGAGCTGGTGACTTTGGCTGAATGGTAAACTGGGGCTGATGGTTTTGGCTGTGTGGAGCGGTCGGGCTGGTTAATATGGCAGGGTGGAGATATGAGACTGGTGATTTCGCCTTGGTGATTAGGTGGGGCCGGTGAGATAGTCTTGTTGTACAGGTTGTGCTGGTGACTTCAGCTGGGTTGGGAGGTGGGGCTGGTGACTTCGGCTTGGTGGTGAGGTTGGGCAGGTGACTTCGGCTGAGTGGTGAGGTGGGCTAGGCCTTGGCTGGGTGGAGAGGTGGGGCTGTTTAATGTGGCAGGGTGGAGATGTTGGGCTGGTGATTAAGGCTTGGTGGAGAAGTATGGGAAAATATGGACAAATAGTGGACAAAAGTGGAAAAATATGGACAACTATGGACAAATAGTGGACAAGTAGTGGACTAATATGGAAAAATAGTAGACAAATATGGACAAAGGTGGACAAAAAGTGGACAAATAGCAGACAAATGTGGACGAATATGGACAAAATAAGGACACAATACAATACAGAATCAACAGCATCTGCATATTTGTTTTTGTATTTTGAATAAGTTTTGTCTCAAATACATTTTTTCATATTGATTGATTTATCTATCTATCTATTAATATAACTTTATATTAAAATTTCTTAAAAAAAATCAAGTTTCAAATACAACCATTGAAAATAAAAAATAAAGAGTATAGAAAGCTTTCCGGTGATAGTATGAGGGATTCTATACAAAAAAAATGACGCCGACGCGCATCGAACCCGCAACCACACAGCCCGTACGCTTAATTATATGGGAGGTAAAAAAACTCACTTGCATGACTTGAGTAGAGAAATGTGGTTATGGTGCAAGGAACGCGACATCTGGTTGTCTGTGTGCTACTTACCAGGGGTTACTAATATAGAGGCTGACAGATTATCTAGGAAATTTTATGATGACATCGAGTGGAGCTTAAATGTACATGTTTTTCAAGATGTGTGTGACAAGTTTGGGATACCAGACATAGACCTATTTGCCTCTCGACTAAATGCACAAGTGAATGAATATGTGTCATATCTGCCTGATCCTACAGCTAAAACTGTGGATGCTTTTAGCTTGACATGGTCATATGAAACTTTATACTATGCATTTCCTCCTTTCAGTCTCCTAGGAAGAGTTCTACAGAAAGTGGAGACGGATGTGACGGAGATGATCCTTATTGCACCCATGTGGACCACACAACCGTGGTTTCCCAAAATGTTGAAACTGATTATAGCCCCACCAGTGATCCTGCCCAACAGGTTACAACTGTTACAATTGCGAAACAACCCAGCCTGACAACATCCACTGCGGAAACTGCGTCTGATAGCCTACAGGTTATCAGGGAATGCCTGCAACGTCAAGGTGTTTCGCCGCAAGTTACAGACATCATTCTCGCATCATGGAGGACATCAACACAGAGACAATATAGGGTGCATATCCGCAGATTGTTGTCGTTTTTGCGCGCAAAGGACAGTGGATCCACTTCAACCATCTGTAACAGACTTGTTAGAATTTTTATCCAACATGTTTCATAAAGGGCTAGGCTACAGTAGTGTAAATACAACTAAGTCATGTATCAATTCATTCTTAGAATTAACTAGTAATACTTCTTTGATAGACAATATACTCATTTATGAAAGGGATATTTCATGCTCGTCCAGCATTGCCATGATATTCCACTATTTGGAGTGTTTCATTAGTTTTACAATATATACAAACCCTTTCACCTGTACATAATTTTTCCCTTAAATTTTTGTCACTTAAATTAGTTATGCTTCTAACATTATTGACAGGCCAAAGGTGCCAGACTCTCCATTTGTTAGACATTCGCAATATTACTGTGACAGAGTCCCAAGTAACAATCGTTGTCGCATAGACGTGTCACTTTCCCTTTGATCTAGCTATGGTATAACCAACCTATTTTACACAGTTTTACTAATACCATATGGTATTAGTGAGGCTCCTCCCCTCTACTGAATACAATAGAATTCTCCATTCTCATTGGTCAGCCTATGAAAGTGAACAGTGGCCTTTTAGTGAATGTTAATAGGATACCGACACCGTGGGAAATAACTAAATATACAAATCAGGGACAGTATACGTCCCTGTACAAATACAGGGAGTTCAAACACATTGTATTAAGCAACATTGTTGCAAACAATTCAACAAATTGCGCCTTTATAGACAGGTTCCACGGTCCATCTTTTTTCCGTTTTGTAAGTTAAAGTCTTAGCATAAACTGGTACTAGTCGGTCTTTTAATTAAAAGACACTTGGCAATTGTGAAACACATTTCTGGGCATATTAGAAATATCAGCAAATGGAACATGGTCCTTTTCTGTAGGCATGTTAATATTCACATTAGTAGGCTTAATATCTGAGTTACCATTTTGACATGTAGCGCCCTCAATTTTTACCAATTTCTGGACCACTTTCAATGCGAGTCATCGACTGAGACAAATGAATATCGTCCATGTCGTCAAAGTCAATGTGTGCCAAACTTGGCCTCGAGTTTGAGATGAAGTCCGACATGTTGCAATTTTTTTCTTCTAATGACCAAATGTTCTCTTAGATTGTTACGTGACACTTTATGCGACAAGTCGGTTACATCATAGGCCTCGCAATATGTCAGTTATCGTACTCGAGGGGCGGAGCTTACATCTCTAGCGCTACGCGCTCGAGAAGTAGCTCCGCTCCTCTCGTACAATAACTAACATATTGCTCGATTCCTATGATATAACCAATACTTATTGGTGACCTTTTAAAACAGTTCAAATCAGGTCGGCACCTGCCGCCAATAGTGTTGTATGCATTCCCAACTGACTCATCAGTATGTGTTGTGACAGTGTTAAAAGAGTACCCTGAGAGGAATTAAGTTCTACGCAAGGAAGAGCCACAATTGTTCATCAGTACGATTCCATCTTTAAACTTATGTTAAAGAAATCTGGCATAGACACATCAATGTACAAACCACATAGCACACGGAGTGCATCTATGACAGCAGCTAAAGCTGCAAACGTGCCCATCGCTACCATCCTACAGACTGCAGGCTGGAGCAAAGAATGTACTTTTCGGAAATTCCACTGCATTCCTTCATCCCACATTCAGTCTTCTGTGACAGAGAATGTAGGTACTAGACTTCTGGAGCAATTTTCTGCTTCATCACAAACATTGAATTAAACATTGAAACGTCATGTTAACAAACAATTCAGATGTGTTGGTGTTCATGTATATATGAAAAAATGCTGATACGTTATCATAAAAGGTAAAATGTATAGAATTGTTTGTTTTTCATTTATATATTAACGTGAATGCATCAACTCTAAAATCTCAAGGGGTCCCTTAGTAGGTTGATTTTACAAAATTGGAAAAGTAAACTAGTCGTCCACTGGAGACGAAGTTTGATTGAAATTCTGTTAAACAACATCACTTGAACCCTCCCTCTATGCATTATATGTATAGCTTTGTATCTTTTGTTGTTGGTGCACTCATGTTACTCTGAATACTGAACCCCGTGACCTCTACGTCATCTCAATTGATCCCTCAGTAGATATTGTTTTACAGAAAGTTCAATCAAACTTCGTCTTCCAGTGGAAGACTAGTTTAATTTTCCATTTTTTAGTTCAAACAAGGACGCAACACCACCTGCTACAACAACTGCCAGAGCACCGATACACTCACTTCCTACACGAAACAAAGTTCATCTAAGATGAATACCACACTCGAAAACATTGTAAATATGCCGTGAGATTTATATTGTAAATAACGCATGTTGTAACTATTTATTGTTTTTAAATATGTTTTATGCATAAGATTATTAAGGAAAATGAAAATACATGATTAAAAAAAGAGCAGAAAAAGAGGAGAAAAGGAAAGAAAAAGAGAAAAAAAAACAAAAAAGAAAAACAGTGTCGCCGAGAGAGAGAATACCTGAAATCAGAAGGTAAAAGTTAGAAACAAGGGGAGCTAATTCCGTCGGTAAATGCCAAATTGATGACGTCACACACAATACACACACCTATTGAAAACAATGTACAATTAATTTCGATTTCTTTTCTTTCCTGTATGTAATTCTTCTCGTCCTGCAAGGGTTCTTCTGCCAACCAAGACACACAGAGAGACATAATACCCAAAGGAGGGAATACCTGAAATCAGAAGGTTAAATAGTCAGAAAACTAAACAGGACGAGGGAGCTAATTCTGTTACATATGTACGTCTATTGTAAACAGGGGGATATAATTCAGTCTGTAACACTAAAATCGATGACGTCACATTCCAAACGCACATGATGAGTTGACGAAGAGATAGGGCCGTAGGTTCATTGGGTTGCTAAGGCGCCATCTTGGATCCAAGATGGCGGATTTCCCTAGTAACCCAACACCACATCGTCGTCATATCATCAGACGTCGGTCGGAATACCTGGTTTTATCCCTTTTCATTGGCTAGTAGTCAAGAATACACTTCCGGTTTTCCCACTGGAGGGCTACTTCCGGGCAACGTGTAAAAAAGGGAAGCAACTCTGTTTACGCACGCATCTGTTACCATTAAAGAGCTTCGGTGCCCGAGAGCTACGCTCTTATTACTTATTTCACACAGTACAAATTTTACAACAGTTCATACCGTCCTTATACAGCTTTCCCCATCCCAGTTATGCCTCAGAGTGGTCTAGAGGAGTAGGTTTTCTAATATTTATCACCCAGCTTCCCCTTTTTGGCATATCACCTCAGCCCCCCATGGTAGCTAGATCTACGCTTTTTAAACAAATGAAACCAAGTTCCCAATGTGTTTTTTATCCCTCTCTTTTCATTATTCAGCATTGTAGGGTTAAACTGTTGAGATCTCAACTGTTTCCAAGACACGGTGGATAGATCGAACCCCAACGCAAATTTTGGTAGTGTTGAAGTGAAAAGGGTGGGGTGGGGCACACATTCCATTTACACATAGACTATACATTCTGTAAAGCGTTTTTCATCAATAAAATAATGCATTTTAGGAGACAGTCGGTAGACCGTTGATCTGAGTAGTAACCAATACTGGTAGCGATAGTTATAGGGATCAGTAGCGGTAGTCGGGAGGGATTAACTGTAATTGGTCTACCTGATATAGAATTAAACAATAAAGAGTTACCTACCATCTTACGCAACTTTGAATTAGCCAAAATATATCATATGTTTATGTATTTCGTTCCCATTTTAAAACATAATGCATATGCAATTGTTCAGAACGCGCTCAAATGTCTCCCTTTAGAATGACCGAGAGTAAAAATTGTTGTAGTATTATATTTAACGTTATAAAAACTGCACACCTGCGTAGAAATATTTTATTTGATATAAAAACTGAACGATTTCCCACCGCCACGGAGTATAGGTTATATATTTAGACTAGTGTAGGGTTTTAAGTGACAGTCAAAATTGCAATCCCTAAATTATAGAAACAAGAACGTTAGGTACCCATATCCTCCATTTTAGAACTTTATGGCAACACTCAAAAGGCGGATTGCAGCAATCAACCCCCCCCCCCCCCTCTTTTGTTGTTGTCCTAGGCTCGGTTATAACCGGAACAAGGACGTAAAGCCCCATCAATCAATCAATCAACCGTTGCTGTTGTTGTTTCAAATACGGAAGTGCCCTGATGTGTAATCAAAGCTCCCGTAACCCCTGATTAGCCGTTATCTTAGTTTTTGTCGTGAAGCGACTGTATATTTTTACGTGTACAAATAGTACACTTTCATCTACACGAGCAATTTCATGGTTAGCTCTGATAGGAGACTGCTACTTCGGCAGTTGTATTCTGATAATGGAGGTATCTGCTGTGAAAGGTTACCTCTGATTAAATACTCCATGCTCAAGGTGTCGTTTTCTAATTGGAAGTTAGTGAGTGAGGGAAAGATATAATTTGGGTGGGAGAGAGAGAGTGGGCGGAGGATGAGGAAGTATTTGGTGTTGAGCAAGGAGATCCACTTTAGTCCGTGTATTCCAAAACAAAAGAAAAAGAATTAAGTGAAAAGGCATTGTGGGATAAGTATGAAACTTTCACAAATTAAATATCATTATATGACCAATATCTATGCTATGTTACATAATTATCCCAAAATGCCTTTTATGTACAATCAGCGCATAAACATTGGAAATAGGCACAACAATGGATAAAACAATGAAATGGGCTAAATTAAACGATTAAAACAGACAGATAGGTTCCTTGAAGCTAGGATACTTAAAATTACCAGCAAATCAATCTCCATATATTAAACTAATCATTTTACTGTAGTTTTGGTGGCAAATGACATTTTTTTATTTGTAAGTTAACTTTGATAAATAAGAAAACAAATCAGGACCTGGAACTCACTTCAGCCACAGGTGCTGAACACATTTTATATGCTATATACCGCTTTATCACAATCTAATTCGTAGGTCGTCTCAAAGCGGTTTCCAAATTATTATCCGTGGTTTAAAAGGGCCTTTGCAACCAGCCAACATCGTTCTCAACTCCCTAATGAGCATACAGCCGGTGCTGCCATTTCGGCGCTCACAGCTAGCTTTCTACAATTCTAGCACTGCCCAACTACGTACTCATTTACAGCTGAGTAGACTGGAACAAGCGCAGTAAAGTATCTTGCTCAAGGATACAACAAAGTGCCGTGCCGTGCCTCGAACCCGCAACCCTTCGGTCACGAGACCGGCGTGCTAACTATTTCTATCATATACTTATAGCATATAAACGCCGTCCTGCACCTTTTAATTCACTTAAGATAAAGAGGTATATGAAGTTGCCAAATTTAAAAAGTGTTCAATAGCCATAACTCAGTATAAACAAAAGGAAAAGTATGTAGTGAATATGCATTTTATATCGGTGTACTCAAATAAGTAAAGTTGTAAATTTCAGCTCAAAATATAAATTGGAAAGGAAATTATTGAGAAAACAAAACACTTATTTATTTGAAAATTACCTAAAATTACCCCCTAAATCTCAGGATACTGCCCACCGACTAACCCTCCGGACAATGCCCACACACTAAACCTCCGGACACTGCCCATCCACTTAACTTCCGGACACTGCCCACCCATTAAACCTCCGGACACAGCCCACCCACTAAACCTCCGGACACTGCCCGACCATTAACCCTCCGGACACTGCCTACCCAAACTTAACCTCCGGACACTGCCTACCCACTAAACCTCAGGACACTGCCCACCCACTAAACCTCCGGACACTGCCCACTGGACCACCCGTTGACAAGCATTCTCATTCTTTATTAGTCATAAGACCTTAGGCTTATAGGTACATAAACATATACATACAGCATTCTCTAAGCATAATCAGAAGACGGGATAGTGACATCATAGTATACATGAAACAATGTTCAATAATTTGTTCAATACTTAATTAACACACTACAGTTATGAAATACCACAATACATTGACCTATATTTATCACCTCTTAAATGCGTAATATGAATATTTTCTTTAATTGGATAGCTCTCTAACATTATTTTTACTACATGCAAGTAATTGCATTAATTTGAAAATTGAGG